TAGGTTTCTTTGACCCATACGCCTGCATTTTCCATCGACATGCCATTCCACTGAGGCGGCTGTCTCTCATTCTCCTCGTGGACACCTGCTACTGAGGGAGCAGCATTTATTAGTACTACATTATCGGGTTGAGTAGACTCACTGCTATCATTTCGGATATCATCGGGTAGTTGCGTCCCGGCGATATCCACTGTGGCCGCCTGTGTCGGCTCCCTGCGACGTGGGTTCCGACACTGATCTAACTTCCTGCAATCCACACATGGTCGGCTGTTTCTCGCACAAACACAATTTGTGCAGTTTTGGTTCGGGCTAGCACAGACGCAGCAAGGAATGTTACCAGGCATAGTGACCAGCACCTTGGGCGACGGTAACGTCCGCCTCCGGACATCTGATTTAGTCCCAGGCACAAGATTATACTGGTTCTTATGAGGGAAGAGCGGAGAGGTGACAGGCTGGACTGCCTTGTCCAGGTAGTAGGGGCATACGTGCGCGCGTGGGTGTGTAGGCTTCCCCCCCTAATAGCGACCATCCATACATCAGAATGATACACTATGGACAAGAGTTTGTCACACCAGGCACTAGTTTATATTTCCTTGGCACAAATAACCACTATTTATATGGTCTCACTGGTGTAATATCAGTTATGTATACTCACTAGGTTCGTCGAGACCCTACATTAAGAGTCCGTTACTATGGTGGTGGGGGCGACCGCATGGGCAGCACTCTCGGCCCCATAGGGGCGATAGTCTCGGGACCACCCCTGTCACAGTAGGCCTAACGACACTGACCTTGGCGCCGAGCCTTCTCATTATCCTACCACTGACCCAGCACAGGTCACCACTCACTTGGTGAACGCCGGTGAACACACGGAATATTTACAATTTATGCCGTAAGGGATGAGAAGAAACCTTGGGTGGCAATGCTTAGGGTGACATCCGATATTCACGGACACATTGTCAAATTCCCGCTCCCACACAGCGAGTATGTCCCCACCAATAACACTTTAGATCAGGAGGGACGGTCCACGACACCCACGCCGCGCCGGCCGCTACTACTACTACTACATTTCTACAACAATAACTACTACTACTACAGCTACTACGTTTCTTACTGCTATTATTGCTACTACGGTACTATTACTACTACTACATCATACTACTTACTGCTGCTACTACTACACTACTAATATTACAACTAATAGCATAACAACTACTACTACCACAGCAACAACAACTACCACTACTACTGCCAAAGTCTTTGTGACCTCTACTCTTTTATCCCTTTTGTATGGGTGCACAATAAACGAGCTGCTGTCTTCGACCGAAATAAAAAAAATCAATTACCACAACAACTACTACTACCATTACCACTACTAATATAATTTTTTTTTTTAAATGGTCTCCTGCCTCTCCCAATAGCCACACCTTCGCCGCCATTTTATTACCTTAATATTAAATATCCTAGCTGTGTTGAGTTAGTTGAGCCGCAGATCTATGCGGCATTCAGTGACTGTTGCCTCATAGTCAATATCTGCAACTGTTGTCGGCTTTGGGGCCGATGCTCTCGTTCCCCTGAGGCAGAGCAAAGCCGACCGAAGGAGGGAGAAGGACAGTCGACATCTCATCCAGACAGTAACATAACTTCTGGGCTGCTGCTTTTGTTCGGATATCACCTCGGTGAGTCTGGCGTAGAAGCGTCTTGCACTTGGTCCCATCCCACCAGAGGTTGTGAACACTAGAGGAGTGAAGCTGCCTTGATCAACGTTCTGAATTCTCTCCCCGTATGCCCTTATCTTGTCGTTCTCGTTCCTCCTGTGAGCAGCATCGAGAGCTAAGTTACGGTGACATGCGGCCATGGGATAAAAAATCCTGATGTCGAAGAAGGCTCGCTGTGCCCGCATCCAGAATCCTCGAGCACTGACGTCAACACGGGCTTCGTTGGAGGTGTTTGAAGTCCTATGTTGGAAAATCTCACCGTCCAATGGAAGGAGGGTCTGTTCTACCCTGACATCACGGCAGATTTCCTTCAACATATATGCTGTGAGATCCCTTACTTCGTCATGCCTCATGCATATGAAGCCCCCTTCCTTGCACACCATGGCGTGATCGATGTCATAGGAAGAGCCACACACGCATTGGGAGGGCAAACCTTCTACTGGCCTACCGTACCTTAGAGCATTGGCATCTGTAAATTCTTGTTTATTGAGACTGAAACCATTTGCCCTTATCGGTAACGTAGTTAACCAGTTCGAGGCGCCCACCTTCTGCTCTATAGCTACTTTTTTTTTCAAATTCTTTGGTACTTGCAGCAACAGTTGCTGCAACTTATCACTTTGGCTGTGCTGTCGTTCTGTCGTAATGGACCTTCGAATCTTGTTTACTTCACTGGTATCCACCTCCCCTGTTGCGTTCTGAGCTATTATGTGGTCCGTGAGAGCTGCCGTGAGCTTAACTGAGTTTCGATGTTCGGTGGCAGCAATCTCCTCTGGATTGGTCAATCCCATTCCTCCCAGTCTCGGTGGTAGTGCAAGGAGAGATCTTTCTGCTGGGGCTAAGTGAGGGTGTTTCACTAATTTGGGAATGAAATTGATGCTGATAGCTTCTTCCAGAGGGTGGAGGAGGGGTCCGATATCAGGGATAGTGCGCATCAGGTAGTTCCAGCGATGCTTGACTCCATGGGTGAATGCTGCAAAAGCCGCATGTGGCTCTGTGTTAGCAATCTCAGACAGAGCTTGGATTTCCCTAACCCACTCATTCACCTTTCCTGTTACGTACACGGTCTTGAAGTCAGTTGTGCCGATTACTGCGCATAGGTGTCTTTGGCCTTCCTTTGTTATTTTGACCTCATTTCCACCGAACACCTCCATTGCCCGTTCATAATGTTCTGGCTTCACAATGAGGAAGGACTTGCTGGCGTTTGGGTGGTACCCTGTTTGTGGGCCTCGTGATGTTACCAGGTCCCATCACTTTTTGATGTCTTCCACTTTTCCTGCTCCTGTAAGGTCATCAGCGTACGCCACTCAGTTTTTTTTTTAACGTGGCCTCCATCTTCCCCTTATAGCCACACCTTCGCCGCCATTTTATTACCTTAAAATTAAATATCCTAATACATAAGTAGCTATCCTAGCTGTGTTGAGTTAGTTGAGCCGCAGATCTATGCGACATTCAGCGACTGTTGCCTCATAGTCAATATCTGCAACTGTTGTCGGCTTTGGGGCCGATGCTCTTGTTCCCCTGAGGCAGAGCAAAGCCGACCTAAAGAGAGAGAAGGACAGTCGACATCTCATCCAGGCTGTAACATAACTTCTGGGCTGCTGCTTCTGTTAGGATAGCACCTCCGATAGCACCTCCGCGAGTCTGGCGTAGAAGCATCTTGCACTTGGTCCCATCCCACCAGAGGTTGTTAACACTAGAGAAGTGAAGCTACTACTGCTACTACAGGACTTGTACTACCACCACCAGTACTTTACCAGCTAATAGAACTACTGTATTGTCAGTTGATGGCTTACGTCAGCTTGCGCAACATGTCAGGTTATGCAACGCGTCAGCACCTGAAGGCAGACAGGTGCGGAGGAGCGTCAGCTCATTTTATCATCAGGCGAGGGAGTGCGTCACTTGATGGAGGCCTTTATCTGATGGTGCAGTCAGCTGATAGCACTGTCAGCTGATAACACTGTCAGCTGATATCATCGTCAGCTAATAGCTTAATCGGCTAATAGTCCTATCAGCTGATAGCCCTGTAAGCTGATAGCCCTGTCAGCTGACAGCCCTGTAAGCTGATAGCCCTGTCAGCTGACAACACCGTCAGCTGTTCTCCGTATACAGTAATTTGAACACTACTCATGTACAGTACACGTCACTACGGATGGATTGGTGAAGTGGAATGGTGTCACAAGATTGGTGACTTAAAATGGAATGATTGAGTTGATTCTGGTTGATCGAGAGACAGAAGTGTGGACTGTGGTAAGAGAATATTGGTTGTCCTGGTGAGAAATGTAATTGGCTGTCCTGGTGAGAAAGGTAATTGGCTGTCCTGGTGAGAAAGGTAATTGGCTGTCCTGGTGAGAAAGGTAATTGGCTGTCCTGGTGAGAAAGGTAATTGGTTGTCCTGGTGAGAAAGGTAATTGGTTGTCCTGGTGAGAAAGGCAATTGGCTGTCCTGGTGAGAAAGGTAATTGGTTGTCCTGGTGAGAAAAGTAATTGGTTGTCCTGGTGAGAAAGGCAATTGGCTGTCTTGGTGAGAAAGGTAATTGTGGTTGGCGAAGTAGTGTGACTGGTGGATGGCTGACAGCAATATGGCTACGAAGTATGATTGGTGGATGGCTGACACTTGAGTATGGCTACAGAGTATGTGGATGGCTGACAGCAGTATGGCAGACACCAGTTAGACATGGATACAGCTATTGTGTATATGGTTAGTTTAAGTTGGTTTGGTTAAGTGACGAGTGTGTGTGAGTGTGACCGCGAACACACACACACACACACACACACACACACACACACACACACACACACACACACACCTGTCACCAGTTTATCGTGGTGAAAGAGAAAACCAGATTGATCATGTGTGTTTGGCCTCTTGGTGACCCACAGTAATGGTGACCGATTACTGCTCTCTCTCTCTCTCTCTCTCTCTCTCTCTCTCTCTCTCTCTCTCTCTCTCGAATTAGGCAACTCTATTTTGGTTTTGGTTTTTGTATATTTATAAGGCCCCCACCCCCTCCCCATATAGTTTTTTTATATCCCACAATAACAATGATCTATTTTGAAAACGAAAATTATTTTTGATATTTCCAGCAAGTTTTTCCCTTTAGTGAAGAGTGAAGTGAATGATTACAAGTCTTGTTAGCTGCTGTTGTCAATAGTGAGAACGAAATATATACAGTATATATATATACACATATATATAAATTATGTATATATATATATATATTTATGTATGTTGTGAACTCAATTTATTAAGAAATATATATTATATATGTATGTATATATATAAGAAGGTTGAAACTGTGCCAAATTTTGTGACGAAATGATCAGTTGGTGAAGTGTTTAGTGTGAGGAACTTGTGAAGTTGTTAAAGAGACGGACACACACTCATACACACACACACACACACACACACAGACTCTTGCATGCGCTGAAGCCTGGTGTTACAAAGCAAGAAGAGAGGCCAGCAAGCAAGCAAGCCAACCAGCAAGAAAGCCACACATAAGACACTCACACACAGTTGCTCTCTATCTTTATCAATTCAGTGGCGTCAGGAACACCCACTGTGTCAGCAAGTTAATTTACTCTGTGTGTCAGCCAACACAGCGCCACGCACGTCGTCAGTTTCAACCCCATAGTGGACGCAGAGGGTGGGAGTGTGGTGCAGGTGCGGAGTGTGTGTGCGCGCGCGTGAGGGACGTCGTCCCGTCTCCTGCTGTGTTTGCTTGTGCGTTTATCGCAGGTGCTTTTGCGTGTGCGTTTCCCGTGGTGCTCGCCAGGTGTGTTTTTCCGTGTGCGTGTCTCGCGGTGTGTGATATTTGCGTGTGCGTTAACCCGCGGTACTCGCCAAGTGTGTTTGCGTCAGCACTGTTGGCCCCATGTGCACCTCAACTGCTGTCTCCCTCCCACTCTCTGAGCTCGCCCTCGCCTCCCTCCTCCCCTCAGCACACCAGGTGTGGAGTGAGAGCCAGTGACGCGTTAAGTGCCAGCAGAGAGCCAGGGAGTTTGGCCCTCGCCCTCCTTCTTCCTAGCTCTCGTGAACACCACCGGCGAGGAGAAGGCTCAGTGAGGCGCTGCTACAGGGGCGTCGGCCACAGCAACAGCAGTTGCATCACCTACAGGAGGAACAGCGGCAGGAGGAGCAGCAGCAGCAGGACCAGTATCAGCAGGAGGAGGAGCGGGAGCAGGTGGTGAGGCAGGTGTTGGGGGATGGTGGCGGCCGTGGGCAGATAGCCGCGTGACAGCCACCGTGGCCGTGGCTGGGTGCGGGGCGGCCGATGGCTTCTCTACCTACGTGCTAGTGTACCTGGTAGGCCGCTCTCTCCTCACGCCCCTCGCCGCCCTCCTAAGCGCCGCCTCTCAACAAGCCTCTACCATGGTGAGTACCCCCCCCCCCATACACACCCATGTATAAAGAGTTAAAATCAGCACATATCCACCTCCCTGGTAGACAACACAAATACCATGTCATTAGGCCACAGCTGCCACCTTCAACCGGGTTTCTGCGTCAACTGTGGTAACCCTCACACGAACTCCACCTACTTCTCCCGGTGTTGGTTCTGTGCTGACTCACATTTCAGGAAGCTACGACAACTTACACGTCTAGAGACAACCTGAATATGTAACAACAAAATGCGTTATTCTCGGACAGGTGCAGCAGATAACACCTGTCTAGACAAACTAATTAGTCACGTGTACCTCATTTTTTCTCTGTAATTTAATTGTGATTGTCTGTGCTATATCGCTTACCAAACACACTTAGAGTACAGTTAGTTCAGTTATTATTGTACAGTTAGTTCAGTTATTGGAGTACTGTACAGTTAGCATAGTACAATTGGTATAGTACAGTTAGTATTGTACAGTTAGTGTAATCCAGTCTTCAGCAGAATGTACATACACAAAAAACACACACATATGTACACACACACACACGATGCATTATTCAGGTAGTTCTTTGGTGTGTGTGTGTGTGTGTGTGTGTGTGTGTGTGTGTGTGTGTGTGTGTGTGTGTGTGTGCGCAGGGAGTAGTCAAGCAGGATATAGCCTCAGCCGCGCTATTGTGGTGAATCCCCTCTGGCTTGTTTACTATCCTGGCCGTATGTTTGACTGTCCCCCCCTCCTCCCCTCCTATCCCCTCCTCCCTATCCCCCCTATCCCTCCCCCATCCCCCCAGCGCCGGCTCATTCAACATACATCTCGTTATTCAGCGGCGCTACAGAGGCTTAGTGCTCATACAATCCACTTGACCTTTTCTTTACACACACACTTTGTTGTTTACGAGGCTCGCAGCTGTTTAATCTTCATACACCTGTCATTTACAAGTCAAACAGCTGATGGGTTGTCATACACCTGTCATTTGCGAGTCAAACAGCTGATCGTTTGCCATACATCTGTCTCATGCATCTGTCATTTACGAGTCGAACAGCTGATTGGTTGTCATACACCTGTCATTTACAAGTCAAACAGCTGATCGGTTGCAATACACCTGTCATTTACAAGTCAAACACCCAGTCAAGTCACACAGTCAGTAAATTATAACAGTTAGCATTGAGTGTACAGTACAGTCACCATAGAGGGTACAGTCACCATAGAGGGTACAGTAACCATAGGTACACTCACCATAGGTACAGTCACCATAGAGGTCAAAGTCACCATAGAGGAACAGTCACCATAACCATAAGTGCACTCACCATAGGGGTACACTCACCATAGAGGTACAGTCACCATAGAGGTACAGTCACCATAACCATAGAGGGTACAGTAACCATAGAGGTACACTCACCATAGAGGTACACTCACCATGGGTACACTCACCATAGAGGGTACACTCACCATAGAGGGTACAGTCACCATAGAGGTACAGTCACCATATGGTACAGTCACCATAGAGGGTACACTCACCATAGAGGGTACAGTCACTATAACCATAGAGGTGCAATATATAGAGGTACACTCACCATAGAGGTTACTCACCATAAGAATACAGTCACCATAGAGGGCAGTCACCATAGATGGTACAGTAACCATAGGTACACTCAATAGAGGTACACTCACCATAGAGAGTACAGTCACCATAGAGTACACTCACCATAGAGGTACACTCACCATAGAGGGTACAGTCATAAGGTACACTCACCATAGAGGGCAGTCACCATAGAGGGTACTCACCATAGAGGGTACAGTCACCATAGAGGTGCAGTCACCATAGATGGTACAGTCACCATAGAGGTACACTCACCATAGAGGGTACACTCACCATAGAGGTACAGTCACCATAGAGGGTACACTCACCATAGAGGGTACAGTCACCATAGAGGTGCAGTCACCATAGATGGTACAGTAACCATAGAGGGTACACTCACCATAGGGGTACACTCACCATAGAGGGTACAGTCACCATAGAGGGTACAGTCACCATAGAGGTACACTCACCATAGAGAGTACACTCACCATAAGAGTACACTCACCATAGGGTACACTCACCATAGAGGTACACTCACCATAGAAGTACAGTCACCATAGAGGGTACACTCACCATAGAGTGCACTCACCATAGAGGGTACAGTCACCATAGAGGGTACACAGTCACCATAGGGTACACTCACCATAGAGGGTACACTCACCATAGAGGGTACAGTCACCATAGAGGTACAGTCACCATAGAGGGTACACTCACCATAGGGTACACTCACCATAGAGGTACACAGTCACCATAGAGGTACAGTCACCATAGATGGTACAGTCACCATAAGTGCCTCACCATAGGGAACCACTCACCATAGAGTACAGTCACCATAGAGGGTACACTCACCATAGATACCCATAGAGGTACACTCACCATAGAGGTACACTCACCATAGAGTTACACTCACCATAGAGGTACACTCACCATAGAGTACACTCACCATAGAGGGCACACTCACCATAGAGGTACACTCACCATAAATGCAGTCACCATAGGGTTACACTCACCATAAGTACAGTCACCATAGAGGTACACTCACCATAGAGGGTACAGTCACCATAGAGGTACACTCACCATAGAGGTACTCACCATAGAGGTACAGTCACCATAAGTGCAGTCACCATAGATGGTACAGTCACCATAAGTACACTTACCATAGAGGTACAGTCACCATAGAGGGTTACTCACCATAGAGTACAGTCACCATAGAGGGTACCTCACCATAGATGGTACACTCACCATAGAGGTACACTCACCATAAGTGCTACTCACCATAGAGGATACAGTCACCATAGAGGTACAGTCACCATAGAGGTACACTCACCATAGGGTACAGTCACCATAGAGTGCAGTCACCATAGAGGGTACACTCACCATAGGGGTACACTCACCATAGAGTACACTCACCATAGAGGTACAGTCACCATAGAGGGTACACTCACCAGATGGTACCTCACCATAGAGGTGCACTCACCATGGGGTACACTCACCATAGAGTTACAGTCACCATAGAGTACAGTCACCATAGAGGGTACACTCACCATAGAGGTACAGTCACCATAGGGTGCAGTCACCATAGAGGGTACACTCACCATAGGGGCACACCTCACCATAGAGTCACTCCTGGGGTACAGTCACCATAGAGGTACAGTCACCATAGGGTACACTCACCATAGAGGTACACACTCACCATAGAGGGTACAGTCACCATAGATGCAGTCACCATAGAGGTACAGTCACCATAGGTACACTCACCATAGAGGGAAAACTCACCATAGGGTACACTCACCATAGAGGGTGCACCACCATAGAGGCACCACCATAGAGTGGTCAGCGGCGTGGACACCTACAGCAGTACTGGAGTGGGTGGTAGTGTGGTGCGGCAGGAGAATGTTTCAAGTCATATTGATAACAAGGTTGCGGTGGTCGAGTGGACACACATTGACATCTGTCTTAAGGATCGCAAGTTCGTTTCCAGGGCACCCAGCTATAAATGAGTGCCTGATTTTACAACTGAGGAAATGAAGGCGGCCAAGTGCAGTACCGGACACAACGCCTCCTTGTTTATCACCTGAGAGAGGGCCGTGATCACCAACTCTAAGACCCGAGGATGCCACCATGATTGACTCCCCGATGTAACTTAGATGATAAAAGAGAAACCTGCCACTACGATAGCAGCAGCAGCAGCTCTTGGGAGGATGACAACCAAATATAATGTGACGAGACTGACGATAACAAACGAGTCAATATCAGGTCACCACAAGTAGTTATTGACAAGGTTTTTAGTCTATCAAGTAAACTCATGATTATTGACACGCTCTCTGACACCCAACCTGACAATCTCTACCAAGTTCTCGATACTAAATAAGAGAGAAAAAAAGTTTACAGCAGCTGCCCTTAAGACTTTTGACACAAGAGAGAGAGAAAGGGAGGGAGAGACAGGGAGAGACAGGGAGAACAGGGAGGAGTTGGTGCATACATGTGTATCTCAGGGTGTATTTTTCTGAGGGGTTCAAATTTAAGGGCTCATGTCAGGGGTTCAGATTTATGAAGGGGTTATATCAAAGGTTTAAATTTAAGGGGTAATTTCAGGGGTTCAAATTTAAGGGGTTATGTCAGGTTCAAATTTAGGGGTTATGTCAGGGGTTCACATTTAAGGGGTTATGTCAGGGGTTCACATTTAAGGGGCTATGTCAGGGGTTCAGATTTATTAATTTTACCTTGTCTCCCCCAAATAAGGTTCCATAACCCCATATTTCCGTTCACTTAGGGTCATAGTTTTAGGTGCTTCAACTACCAGGATTATTAAGCACCGTTCACTAGGGGCAGGTTTAGGTGCTTCAACTACCAGGATTATTAAGCACCGTTCACTAGGGGTCATAGTTTTAGGTGCTTCAACTAATATGGATTATTAAGCACCGTTCACTAGGGTCATAGTTTTAGGTGCTTCAACTCACTATGGATTATACAACTGTTCACTAGGGGTCATAGTTTAGGTGCTTCAACTACCAGGGATTATTAAGCACTTGCACTAGGGTCATAGTTTTAGGTGCTTCAACTACTAGGATTATAAGCACCGTTCACTAGGGGTAATTAGTTTTAGGTGCTTCAACACCAGGATTATTAAGCACCGTCTACTAGGGTCATAGTTTTGAGTGTCAACTACCAGGATTATTAAGCACCGTTCACTAGGGTCATAGTTTTAGGTGCCAACTACCAGGATTATTAAGCACCGTTCACTAGGGGTCATAGTTTTAGGTGCTTCAACTACCAGGATTATTAAGCACCGTTCACTAGGGTCATAGTTTTAGTGCTTCAACTACCAGGATTATTACACCGTTCACTAGGGGTCATAGTTAGGTGCTTCAACTACTAGGAGCACCGTTCACTAGGTCATAGTTTAGGTGCTTCAA